CACTTTGACTTATCACCTCAGTTAGAATGAGTAATACAAACAACCAAGTGAATACTTGAAAACTTTGTTAAACCTGACCAAACTGACTGGGATGAACACTTATTGTATATTATGGTAGTGTACAGAGCAACTGAGCAGAGATTTACAGGCTTTTCACAGAACACGGTCCTGTCTGGGTGGAAAATACAACTCTCTGTTGACATGATGCATGACCCTCCATATGAGTAGATATCACACAATGTCCACTTGAATGTGTGGAATGGTTAAGGCCTGCTTTAGTCAATGCACACGAATTTGTTCATCAACAACTTGTAGAAGGCACTCGTTAACAGAAGAAGTATTATGACAAGACTGTAAGAGGGTGGATATAACAGTGTATATATTGGGTCTTCTGCTGTTCCAAGACCTGAGAGGTGAGAATGCATGGAGCATACTGCCTAGTACTTACTAGATTCTGCCCTGCTTACCTAGAGAGAATGTGAGGAAGTTGTGCTTCCACTGAACCTAAGTGAACATGCAGTAGTAACAGCACGATTATTAATCCTGGCTGACTTCAATTTTAGCTGGAAACTTTTAGTTTGGCTAAACTCTGCATGAAATACCTAGATGGCTGAACATTCTATGAGACCATAGCTACCAAAAAGAAGCACTGGAAGGCAATCTGAGAAGGTTATCAAAGTAATTTAAACAGGAACTGAAAGCAATCTGTTATAAGCTATCAGAGTATGTGACAATGTGTAATTGTGATACATGTATGTAAATAAATATACGTGTATGGTCTTGCATACACATATTCGGATTGGATCAAATTTAAATATTCATGAGTGGGTGAAATTATCAGTAGTAAATAAAATTTACAGATAGTAGCATAAATATCATAGCAAATGTAAACTCTGTATACCTAATATTTTATTTGGTTGTAATAGAATATTTTCAGTGATGCAATTTGAAATATTTTAATGAGCACACAGTTTATTGAATATTTCCTTGACATTGTTTCAGTACAAAGTGCAGTAATAAGGCATAAAAATGCAGACTGTAAGGATACTATGGAAACACCTTCGTTAAGGCTGGAAGAAAAGTTTACCACTTGCAGGCTGAGCTGGTAGACACTAAGAAGGTCCCAATAAAAGCTTAGGGATACCATGGTAACAAATCATAAAACCACACCCACCTTTGAGAATTTGCTTGTGGGGTTAAAGTAAATGAAGCAAAGACATGACCAAACTCTGGGTAAGTTTTATATTTTGTATACATATTTAACATTACAATTTTGTACATTTCTATGTATATCTATCTTGTATTTATATTATTTCCATTTATTTACTCTATTAGAATACTTTAAGATGACTAGTGAACTTGTACATACCTAAATGTGCTATGTTTCATTCCTTTTTTTTTCGTTATTATCTTATGTGAAATCTGCAAAGGTTTGTTTGGTAGATTAAATTTAATAATCTTTTGTCTTGTAAGATAAGCCATTTACCGTGTTAATTTGTGACATGCTTTAATTAGTCTATTTTTTTATGTACTAAAATGGTAATTTACTATTTTTCTTCGTATAATTTGACTTAATTTAATGTGTTTGAATTCTGTAACTTATGTTTAAACATTTAGGGATATGTTTCACTATGATTTCTGGTGTATTCCTTTTTCATGTTGATTTTATGTTTAAAAAATCTGTAGTTGTTTTATTGAATTATTATTCTGTTTTATGTCAAAGGGTATATTCTTTTTTATTATTATTAATTTTTATGAATTGTGTTTAATGATTATATATAATTACTTGCTGAAGGGATTTTGTTTTTATTTCAAGCAGCATTTAAATGGATCAACATGAAATATATTTAATTTCATGTGTAATTCATTAGACTACCCTTCCTGTGATTTTCTTAAAGAATATTTTGTATATGTTTATGTGTAGTTTGATCTTTGTTAAAGAGGTCTAATTTTTGTATTGTGTGTCTTTCATTATTAAAACGCTTTCTTTTGTACATCCGTATATATAACTTTATTTTATTATCTAACAGTGTTTTAAGGTATTATATATTAATGACATGCAAAGGATTTTCTATTTCTTATTATCATTCTGTATGGTATAGTACCTTTCATGCTTATATATTATTTCATTATTAAAATGTATGATAATACCTTAATGATTTTTTTTCTATCATGATAATAGATGTTTTTCATTATGTATTAATTTTCTTAGTTAAAGGGTTTTAATTTTTAATGCTTGAGGTGTAGTTATTTGTTTAAGGGTTATGTCATCAACGTTGTGTGTAAACATTTCCAGGGGCAAGAGAAGGTTAACGTGGTTTTTGACCACAATGTGAATGTAAATCAATTGGTTTTAAAATTAAATTTAGTTGTTGGCTTGAGGACAGGCCTGAGACACAGGGGGGAGGAAAAGTGTGGTTTCAAGCATATTACACATTTCTATCATCATATTTAAATGTAAATATTTTCAAAATTTTTCGTTTTTGTTGACACTGAATAGTTTTCTCATAACACATGGTCAAGAAACATTAAAGTTGACTTTGATCTAGTTGTCTTTGTTTCTTTGTTGTACTCTAGAGATAATACTGTTACGACAGCGGAAGTCACGTGACGCTAGTAACACGTCATGAGTTTCTAGAAAATTCATGTCCCTTCGTGAAGCCTCGAGAGTTTACTAGATGTGCGGTATTCTTGTATATAAGACCGCCAAGAAGTGAAGGCAACAAGGGGAAGTGAATTGCAGACAGAGATAGAGACGACAATTGAGTCAAGCGCGTGAATCATTCGTTCGTTGTGAATTATAGCGTTTGTTTAAGTTATAGCGTGACTGTGGAAATTAAGTGTATTGCAGAGTTGTATTGAGAAAGAATAAACTAGTTTTATTTAAGAAAGGACTTGTATTGCTAAAGTTTCTTCGGAAAAAATATTTACGGAAAATTAACAAACGAACAGAGATGTAACAATACCTATTCTTTGTATGAGAGATATTGCTATAATGCTGTACATTGTGCAAGAAAGTGGATGACAGCAGTGTCTAATGATAGTTAGAGATAACAGCCCTTGCAGACGCTCTTGATTACAGCCTCCTAGATTAACCCTTCCATTACGGGCTGGGTTGCATCCACCCAGCTTGTAACCACAAAAGTATCCAAGAGAGTATTTTTTTATATTGTATGCACATCCTTACAAAATTTTGCAGGTTATTGGTAAACATTACAAGGTTTTTGTACACAAAATATCAGGTTTTTAAATTAAGTATTAAGATTTTTAATTAAATATTTTTTCATAAACCTCTTTCTTTCAGAATGTTGACTATCCAACATGCAAAGTAATTTTAATTTTAAGATTAAAAATACTTTAATGCATTAGAACATTCTCAAATTTCACATGTAAAATCTTTGTAATCTCCAGATAATTATTAATTTTTTTGTATAAAAAACTATATTTTATTTGTTATCTTCGGTAGTGTATTTCTGTATGGGTTGGTTCGATATGACTGACTTTCTAATCACAATCAGAAATTAGGAAAAAAATATAAATTATACTTATTTCGTTCTAGAATGGCTACAAATCATAACATGAAAACAAATTTTTGTCTAAATAGCTTAAATCTCATAACGTTATACATGTATAGAATCTATTATATTGACCTTCCAGCCTTGCCTGGCTAACAATACAGAAGTTACAATGATGTGGCGCTCATGCACCCCTGTTACCTATCCAATAGTATATAACTGACCTTTAGTCTTTATAAA